CATTTACAATGATAACGAGGTTCTTTAGGGGAACGAGGTCGGTCAATATTGACCATTTGCTAAACATTAAGTGCCCTTTTATTAGCTTAACTTACTTGCTGTTTTCGAATGTAAAGAATTTTGCAGTTTCTTCTTTGATTATATTTTTATACAGTAATAGGAAATGATGCGTTTTTCAAAGTTTAGATTTAATCTCAATTATTCTTGAATCACTTTAAAGCCAAAAAAATCTCGGTTTTATCTGAGCCATTGCCTGTTTTTTATTGGTAAATTATCACACGCTACTGAAATCGTGTTATTCTCAGTGAACATTTACTACCTAGATTATCTAATGTTAACATGTCCCTCATATGCATTTAGAAAGACCAGCTGTTTCACATCTACTTTTGTTCCACAGCCAACAGCCTCCAGCTGTGCTGCCAGAAAGAGAGTCACATAATTTGATAACTGACTGGTCGCATTTCATGTAAGTTGTAGTTCTTGTTCTGAAGTAATCCCTCTCGCCCCACATTCATTCCTCAGCCCAGAAGGACTAAGTTTTGCTCCAGAGCCTGGCCACTCCCCCACCAGCCCTTTCCCGCAGGTGGAGGAGGTGGATCCACGGCTGCAGGAGTTTGAGTCTGATCCACCCAACTGGAGGGAGCTGGCCTCTCCTGAGGCTCTGTCCAGACTGACCAAGAAGGAGACCAAAATGCAGGAAGTCATCAATGGTAATTAGAGAGAGACAAACAGTTGATGAGACGATAGCGGAGTTTGTTGTATAGACTATATTTAAATTTCCTATTAATCACTCATACTTTTACTACTGTCTTTCCTCTCAGAGTTGTTTACAACAGAGCACGCACATGTGCGAATGCTGAGTGTCCTTCAGGTGATCTTTGTCAGACCATTGGAGAGAGAGGAGCTTCTGACCTCAACTGAGCTGGCCGCCGTCTTCCCCAACCTTGATGAGATCACTGAAATGCACAGTAAGAGCTGCTGCAAAGAAGCATTTGTAAACACAGCCAGACAGCTGAATATAGCACCCTTCCTTCAATGAATATGCCATTATGCAAATAACAGTCTTCCTTACTCATTAGTAAAATCACTAACTGCATGTACTACCTGCAATTGAGGGCACTGTCGTTAAAAAAGCACAATGCTAAATTTGTTCTGGCCAATAGTACCAAGTGTAGATACAAGACGAATGCATAGTGCTGCCTGAATTGCCAACACAGTGTTAGGAAAGAGAATATGCTCAGTATCTACTTATAAGTCAGTTGTCTTTTTCTAACTTTCAATTTCAGGTAACTTCTATGAGAGCCTTAAGAAACAGCGTTTGGATAACAACTTCATAGTTAAATCCATCAGCACCACAGTGCTCAACAGAGTGAGTCGTCACAGTCTTTCACTTCATTTCATCATACAATATTTCTCTTTTTTCTCTGTGCATATTGTACAAAGTCAGTATGTGCCAACAAGTTCATTTTACACAATATTACTGTAAAAGTGCAACAAGGATTTTGGCCTTTTCTGCACTTCTTGAGTTTGACTCACTTCATTATTATTATTATTTTTTTTTTTTTTCAACTAGCCACAACACAATCTTTAATTGTAATGTTTGTGTGTGCACGTGTGTTTCAGTTTGGTGGTACAGAGGGGGAGTGGTTCCAGAAACTGACAGCAAGGTTCTGCAGCCACCAGTCATGGGCCCTGGACCAGATCAAGACCAGGCAGAAGCGAGATCCACGCTTCAACATTTTTATACAGGTACCACATACACATAAACATATCCCCCAAGATTTAACAGAGACATACATGGACGCACTTTGCAGATGCAAAGTAATGCAAAATGTGACAAAGGTGTTCTAGTCTGACTCTGTGTGTGTGTGTTGATCTCAGGAGGCGGAGAGTAAGCCCCAGTGCCGTAGGCTGCAGCTCAAGGACATCATTCCCATAGAGATGCAGAGGCTGACCAAGTACCCACTGCTGCTGGAGAATATTGCAAAGAACACAGGTGTGTATCTGTATGTGTCCCTGGCCTGTTTGTTGCTCACTTTCATGTGTCAGTATATGTGCATCGATATTGTAAAACTTTTTGCATTCTTACTTTCTTTACATTCTTACTTTTTACATTTATTCTTTCCTGATGTATAAGATAGTCAAATACATTTTTATTACACTGTGTATCATCATATTACTCAGCTATATAATGCTGTATATCTGGGATTGAAAATGTAATCGGAAGTACCACCATCACCAGTGATTTGTGGTGTGATACATGAATGTGCACATGCATCATCCATAAGAAAATGCTCAGAATCTCTTTCTCTCTCACTTGCTTTATATAATGCTCTGTTTGTTATATACATAACAGGCCAAGGAAGAGAATGGTGAAGGAAGGTGGTTTAAATGACTTTGAATCTGGCATGATTTCTGGTGCCAGATGAGGTTGTCTGAGCATTTCAGAAACTGCTGCTCTACTGTGATTTTCCTGCCCAGCCATCTCTTGGGTTTACAGAATGGTCCAAAAAAGAGAGAAATATGCATTTAGTGGTTGTTCTCTAGGCAAAAATGCCTGGTTGACGCCAGATAGGGCTGTTCGATATAACAATATATATCGGATGATGATATAAAAACGTCTATCGTTTCATTTTACGCTATTGTTTGTTTCGTGGTGTCGCAAAATAAACTGTTTACGGCAATATTTTTTCATCGTTTTGATGGTCACTGTAGTGGCTATATTAAT